TGTAATCTCTCTTCTTGTTTATTTTGTTGCTCGAGCTGCCACTGTTGCAGGTTTTCTTGCAACTGCTGTTTTCTCGTTCTCTTGTTTATTTTGTTGTTCGAGCTGCCATTGTTGTAGGTTTTCTTGCAACTGTTGTTGTCTCTCTTCTTGTTTCTTTTCTCTTTCCTCTAACAACTGTTGTAATTTCTCTTCTCGTTCTTCTTGTTTCTTTTGCTGTTCTTGTATTGCTGCCATTAAGTCTGCTAGGCTGTAGTTTGATTTGCCGCTTCTCGTTTCCATTTTCTTTTTTATCCCACTTCTGACACAAATTTGTTACATCTCCATTTGTTAATTAACTTTCCGTAACTTCGTTCTAACGAAACTTTAGCGACACAAGTCCTTACTTAATAAAACTGGTTTATTCTTTCCGAATACAACTCTACAATACACTTATTTTCAACAGTCGCTCTATAACAAACGCTATATCAACGAACGTCAACAATACTTCTGACTGCAGTTCAATTACTCACTATCTACACACACACATTATTCTGTCACGTTGTCACCCTCTTTTATATAACAGACTACCCTATATCTAGTAAATGCTAGAGCATTCGCCAAGGTACAGGATAGTTCTAGAAAGCAGAGGGCGTGAGAATAGTCACGTGCTCTCGCTGACGCAACAATATGTTAAAACAGTGTAAATTACTAATGGTTTTGTATTGTTTGTATCCCACAGGAAAGGTTATAAATTAACTTAATGACATCATATTTATAGTTAAGACAAGATTTTATGTAAAAGGAAAGATTATTTAAATAATAGCTAAAACAGTATTTGGTTGTGGTATTTTTGATATAATTCGACTATTTGTTGAAATTATCAATTTTTGATGAATTGTATTAATGACAGTATATTTTAATTGTATAATTGGTCACCAAATTGCACATTATGTGAATACACATACATAAAATTGTAAAGGAATGCCAATTTCAAATGACGAAGTAATTGTAGAATAAGCTTCAAGTTTATGGCTTTATTTAGGATGGTGGAAGTACATTTAACAAGTAAAGTTAAGCAGAATGTTGCATTCATGTTGAAACTTCACATAGAAGATAACTTGGGTGTGTTCATATACAAGAATGATTGAAGAGTAACATATTTAAAGTGATTTTTTTAAAGCTTTAGTAATAATTGTTTAGCTAATTCATCTGTAACCTGAAAAGTGTTAGGAGAGTTAAGATCATTAACTACAATTTGAACATGTACTTTTCATAAATAAAACCAAAATTGCAAACTGCTTTGAATGTTAATGCCAAAAAATTATATCTTGAAACTCTTTAACATTTTATTTAAATTGATAAAAGTACAAATATACTGGTTATAAGAATTTCTCCTCTAGAAAAAAAAAATTTAGGTGAATAACTTGTGATAGAGCTTAGTTTAATTGTATGTTAATGATAGTTTTTCCTCTGTTAACTGACAGGTTGCTTTTTACATATCAAGTATTAAGTATATATTTACTTCCTTTGTCAGAAATGTTTTGTAAATTATACTCTTGATTTTCTGTTACCAAAATATTATTTAGTTAATATAAATTTCTCAAAATATATCTTTGGATATAAAGTTCCTGTAAAATAAAAGCTACTCAGAGTATTACAAAGTATATAAAAAGCAGTACTTTTTTATTTATGTTTGCCTTCATAAACTATTATAAGAGTCATCAGTTATTAAAAACAAAAAAACTTAGCATTATATGAACTGTTGCTTAAAGAAACAGCAGTAGTAGTAGTATGAATTTTGATTTATATCATATAGGAATAAAGTTTCAAGTTTTAAAATATATTTTTTGCAATGAAAACTAATTATTCTGCTATACAGTATCTGATGTGGTTGTAGAACCATTTACAAATGATTGAATTTACAATCATTTTAATTCAATAAAATTCATAATATTATTCGTACTTTGTGATCTATTCAGATTACCCAGATTATTAATTTGACCCACATATTGTAAATTACAACAGCTAATGTTTAGAAGGTTAACATTTCTCACAACATAAAAAGGCGTATTACAGAGATTATGAATAAAACTTAGCTGTGTCTCATTCTTTGATATGGTGATAATGCATAACTGCTAATACTATAAAATGACGACAATGGTACCCTCGAGTTTTATTTTTTATGCCAGATAAGAGTCATGTAGCCAGTTGTTAACTGATATGTGTCTACAATTGGAGTGTACATCCACAAATGTTCATCCGATACTATAGACGTTGCACCCAATAAATGATCAGAAAACATTTATTAATAATGCACATGATCACCTTACATATGAATATCCATTGTACACCATAGTTGCATCTTAAATTGAATGAATCGATGAGCTACTGGGACTGTAAGGCGCACTCTTCTATCAGAGATACTGCTAGTTCATCAGGTACTGTTTGGAGGTGAGTTGTGTTACCAGTCATCTTTCCAGAGCATTCCATACTTGTTCAATTAGATTAAAATCCAGTTAGTCAATACTATATTCTGAATATATTGTGATTATCAGCTTATATAACTAGTCACCAGATATTTGTTTTCTATAAAAATGAACTCTGTGTGCTTTTGACATTATTTAATAATGGTTATGCATTGTCAGAGTTAGAATATAGAAAACTCTGATGATATCTCAATTGCGTTGAACAGCATAGTTTTTGTAATGCAATACAAAATAAGACAGCAATTTAACTCTTGCAGTACAGCAGGTCTGTTAAGTTTCCATTAACAATTTAGGAATTTAATTTTTGATTTCAACTTTTGTAGGCTAAACTTCAAATAACTAGTGAAATGTAAATTATTGCAATTGTACCTTAGTTTTCTCAGTTAGTTGATACAACTCTACATGAGTGCTGCTAAAATAATTATATCTTTCTAAAATGTCTTTGTGGAGACGTATCTTAAATACTAAAAGGTAAGAATAACTTAACTGCAGGTTAATGCTTTTTCACTCCACCCCTCCCCTAGTGACTCATGGTAAGTCTGAAGGTTTATATTACTAAAAACCAAGTTTTAATATTTGTGGTGGGCGCATCTCAGATACACCATTGTGTAGACAAATCCTTTTCACTTTATATTTAAATTTTATTTGTATGTTAATACACACACAAACATACACTATGCTGCTTTTGGAAATTACACAAACTTACAAGGAGTAGATATGATGTTATATAAGTATATACAATATATGTATATATATATAATTCAAAATGCTATTTAAAAAAACAAAATAAACATTGCACTTTCTGGTTGTTATCCAAAAATCATAATGGAGATTGCCTGTGGTAATATCACTAAAAGCATAGATATTCCATCTATCAGACAAAATCCAAAAAGCAGATGAGGAACCAGTCAGCAGTTGTGAAAAATTCATTAAGGGTACAGAGTTGAGTGCTTACTTGCACAATGTCTCAACTCTTACTACCTTTCACTGTCTGCAGCCAGTTGTGGGAAGGCAGTTACCCTTAAAAAAATGTAATAAAGTTAAAAGTAGAATATAAGATAAAATCAAGCCACCCCAAAAACAATTATGTATTTCTACTAAACAATGCCTATCATCCTCTACTCTTAAAAGTTCTAAAAATAGAATAAATACCACCCTAATAATTATACTACATGTTACTCCCAATCTCCACCCATTTTTTTTTATCTTCAGGACTTTTCTGTTTGAAGTTAGTTTAATGGTGTTTGGAAATCTGTGAACAAAATTAAAAACACTGACCTATGTAAAGGGAAAATGTTAAGTTTTGACATTGAAGCTTTATTTACCAACGTACCAGCTGAAGAAACCATAGAATTTCTTAAAAGAAAATTACCTGAACTGAACATATATTTTCCTGTTCATATTGCCACTTTTGTCTCTGTTATCGAAATCTATGGAAACAACAATGTATTTACCTGTCTTGATCAGTATTTTAGACGAAAATCTGGAATGGATGTGGAAATCCACCGTCTCCAATACTGTGCAACCTTTTCATGGAATATTTTGAAACCAAATTAGTTCCTTCCATCAATATAAACCTTTCAAAATTCTGTGTTTCTGATATGTTGATGATATATTTTCTGTGTGGCCAAACAAAAGAAGTGATTTCAAAGGTGTTTTCAACAATCTTTATCAACTTCATCCAACTATCAAATTTAAAGTTGAATGGGAAAAGGATGACAAACTTCCGTTCTTGGATGTTTTGAGAACCAGTCCTTTCAGTATACCACAAACTAACAAATTCTTTAAGTTATGTTCACTTCTTTTCATGTCATCATAAACAGGTCAAAACATCTATTATTTTTTTATTTTTTCCCAGAGCATATAGAATGTGCCACATGACAATGCTTGAACATGAAATTAAAAATATCTTTTTTATTTTCAAAAAACTACATTTTCCACAACGTTTTATTACAAATTTTCATCTCAAAGCAAGAAAAACCTTGTTCCATGAACATGAAGAAAGATCAACCAATGATAATGTGAAACCACTTTATATTGGCTACAACACCAACATTGAACCCCTTGAGAATATATTAAGGAAGAATAACTTTATGATAATATACAAATTTCCAAACACCATTAAAAATAACCTAATTTCAAACAGAAAAACACCTGACAACTTCCTGACCTCTTTTGTCCTTAAAGGAATTCCAAGACCAGGGGTCACGTAGGCATTTGTTGACCAGTTTTTTATCTGCCGGATGACAAGATGAGACTGAAGAGGATGCACAAATGTAGTTTCTCTAATATCAGACTTCTGACAGTTTGTTCCATTTACTGTGGTTTTTCACTCATCTCATGGCAGTTGTTTTATAAAGCATAAACAATTGGAAGTGATGTGTATTTTAGATGTCATGCATAAGAGGACATATAGATGATTTTTCCATAATTGTGATAAAGTTGTTCATTGTATCAGTTGTCTTACACAATGAACTGATGAGTTTGCCATTTGTATTTTAGATCTACTGACTGTCAATGAGACAGCAGCTGAACCCCCTCATGAAGAAGGAACTAATATCAACTCTCCACGAAGTTTGGCTCTTGAAGCAACTTTTATCAATCACAATTTTTCTCAACAAGTTCTAAGAATGGTGAGTAATTTTGGAAATAATTACAATAAAAAAACAGTGTTCAATGGTTTGTATGCTTGAAATATTGCTACATGCTGCATTTATTGAGATAAACAACTTCTCAAAAAAGATTAGTGTAATTCACTGAAGCAAAATATTCATAGTTAATGTATTAGTTTGAATGACTTTGAACCAATCATTTAGTAATTTATATACAAAACTGTGTGCATGATGTAATGATTCAATGCTCTTTTAACATTTATGCTTAGGATATAGAATTTAAACCACTGACATTAAAGATATGTATTAATTACTCACAAGTTAAAGCTATAGAATAATTAGGAAATTTCACTTGAATATTAGAAAAGTGTTAAAACATTAAAATTTTAACCATTTATGCACACACACACACACACACACACACACACACACACGTGTGTGTGTGTGTGTATATATTATTTTTA